GAGAATAAAATAAAAGTTATGACTTGAAATTATTGACATCGTCCATGAATTATTAAATGTCTCCGACCAGACGTAAGTTGCGAGTTTTTGTACAGTGCGTCGGATAACGAAAAGCCCAGAATGGCACACATTGTGGATATAAATGCATTTTTAACAAAAAGACGAATATATATATCTCATGAATCTTAATTATATTATTGAATTTGTTATATAGTGTTGTTGTTTTCTGCTTTTCCCGCGGTTTTAAGTAGGTCACCAGTGACTATGCAATGTCAGAGAGTGCTCCGTCAGTTAAAATCTCTTTTAAAGTTGACCCTTTCCATAACTTTTTATGACCAAAGTTGGTTACATATCTTGGCTGTTTTACTTTCTAATATTTAGATAGGTGAGCACTGATTTTTAACGTCTGGGTAATTTGTCTGTATAATTTAAACGGACATTATGTTATTGTTAAATATTACCCACCCTAAATAGAAATTAAAAACTCTGCATTAAGGGGCAATGCTCTTATATCATTTTAATATTAAAATACATAAAGTAATACAACTAATCATTTTCTTTTTATTTGATTTTAAGGATGCTGAACCTAGTACACTTCCCATTTTCAAGGTGTGTGTCAGATCGCATTTCGGAGTATCAGTCAGAACACCGACAGGATGAGCCCGCGGTCGTCCTACAAAATTTGTTCTGGGGTATGATACTCCGAAATGCGATATGACACACACCTTGAAAACGGGTAGTGTGGTACGATATACCGGTTAATTCAGGATCCTTATGTGCCGAGTCTGGTAGTTGGGTAGGCCTGATATAGTCGCAATTTTTTTTTACTTTTTCTGAATCTCTGTTGACAGTTCCTTTCGATAAATATGGCTTTTTTAAAAATAAATCAATGAAATCCAAGGAAACGCGCTTGATACCAACTAGATTTACATGTATGTTATAGGTCTTATAATGCTGTGGAAAAAAATTTAAACTGCTTTTCAATATCTTCAAATCTTTTATATCTTCAAAACCCTATTAATGTGTATATGGTGGCAAAAAATAGTGTATCCTTTGAAAAAATGAAAGATGGCTGCCGTTTCCCATAGAATTTAATGGGCATCAACTACATAAATATATGCCTGTTGGAAACAGCGATAGATACAATACGAGTCGCCGAGCTGTACGTGAAAATTACCCGTTTATTGTCTCGCCTGCGGCTCGACAATACACTTGTAATATTTCGTAGATTTTGGAGTGAGGAAAGTAGGTTTTTAGACCCGGTCGTAAACAGACTAAAGTAATAAATTAAACTAACATTGATAAAAATAGTACATGACTGGTGTGCTAGAAACGGGGTTGGATACTTTCACCCCATTTTCATAGATTTCCATAGAGTTAGGTCGATCTAAATGTTAATCTTTAGATCGATCTAAGGGTGTATTTCCAGAGATTTAGATCGATCCAGGGATTAAAATATAGATCAACCTAACTCCCTGTGGGTTCACGCTAAATTGCAGTCAGACGAGCGCGCACCATAGTTAATTACCCCTTTACAGCTTTTAGTAGGCGGGACAGACGCTTAAGCCGGCTAAGCTGACAGTAATCTAGTGAGACTCCCCATAGGGATAGATCGATCTAAAATCTATGGAAATGGGGTCTAAATCTCTGGGAAAGCACCCTTTGTTAAGGCAAATGTATTCAATTTATTTGATAGATGCATTTTAAAGCTTATCGGTTTCCTTTCGAAGCACTGCATGGCAAGGATATCAGGGGCCTGGATTTGCATCTTATTCAAGGTGTTCTTTGGCCAATTTTCTTTAATTTTCTTCTCAATATCAGATCTGAATAAAACTTGGCAGTTTTGAAGAAGGCGTGACCTGGTCTCAGTTCATACGATTTGATGACGTTAAATAATTATATTTTTAATATTGTCGAATTTAGGATTTACAATGTTAATTTTTCAAGTCTTTTTCAAACCAGACATTTTACATACAGACAGTAAACATGATCCTTAGGAAAATCTAACTAAAAATTTGGCTATTAATATACTTGCGAATTTCTTTTGCATTTAATGACTATATGTCACAGGCAAGATTGAAATTTCAGCGACATATGTAAAAACAGTTAACAAATGAATAACATATTTGGAATTTTCATAGCTAATTGCAAACAAGAATGCGTTCAGGAGTAAACTTTCATGTAATACGCTATCCGGGCATCATTGTATATACTTTTTCATGCCTTATAGTGACACGATATGTGAAAGTGGCATTATATATTTTTGATTCATATGGAAATCCGACCTACTTTAACGTCAACCACCTTGATTCTCGAACTATTACTTGGTGTGTAGACCTTTTTTGCGCTGTATAATGTTGTATTTTACCCGTACTTTATTTAAAGCTTTGTTTTGAAAACTGTACGTGATTACTGCAGATGTGAGGTTTATACATAATATACATAATATACATACCAACCCCCTCACCCCGGCTCTCTTCAGCCTGATTTCTTCAACGTAGAGAGTGTATGGTATTCTCACCTGAGATACTGTTCACTGTGTCAACTTGTTCACTGTGACTCCATAAAAATATCACGATGACGAAGCCAAGCGGTATTAGGACTAGGGCACGTTTGACAAGGCGCAATAAAGAAATCATTTTGAACTTCTGCCCTTCAACGAAGGCGAGTCAGCACCCAGCCCTTCTTCTCGCAATGAAGTGACCTCTGTTGGTGTACGTGTCAACGTTAAAGCTTTTGTGTATGTAAATGTCAAAGGCCCGGATCAAATCTAGTCCCATGCATAAAAAGCCCAGGCCCCATGTTTATTACTCCCTGGCTGGGCCCATTCTTTATGGTGTCTCTGGATTGTTAACAGCATAATGGGCAAGTTAAGTGTCCAAGTTGCCAATTTGTTTGTATGGCATGTGCAGGGGATGTCTTAGATCAAGGCACAAATGAAGCCCATCTTTAATTTAACATATCTTTAGTAAATGTTACTAAATCAATCTACATGTCTTTTCTTTAAACATTAAACATCTTTAAAAGTATCATCCTCTGATGTATTTTACAAATCACAGGTAATGAAATACAAGTATATCTCATTTGCCGCACCTATAAGTATCATAATATGTACCTTGATCTAAGACAGCTCACAGCTCAGCTTTCACCCACTCGAACAGAACGAGTAATGGCTACCACTTCTTACATCTTTTCTGTTTGGTACAATATTGTAACAGGAAATCTAGATTTACGTTTGAATGTATGTGCTAACAATGTCGGAAGACAACATGTGGGGAAACGTCGGTACTTTCACTTTCGACAACTACTGTAGTCAGATCGATCTTTCTTTTTTCATGTAGACCTTCGCCCTTTATATTACACCAGCATTTCCCTCGTCTTCTGTTTTATGTGTTACATTTACAAAGGGAAGTGAGGGATATTTTTGTGCCGTCCACTTTGGCAAAATCTTGAATCCGCCATCGTTAACTGCCATTTTTGATGACAGTGCAAAGCTCTCAACATGGTATGACAACTCATAGAGGAACACGATGGGCGACAAATATTAGATAATAAAAAATTTTTGACATCAATATACTTCTGTTATTGTAATAAACGTTTGTATATATTACCTGAGCTCCATCATTTTCGAATGTTTTAAGTTTTAATGTATCGGATATGCATGTATTGCTTTAGAGGAATCAAAATGTTTAAAAAATAACGAATCCCATATCTGGATACACAATGGAAGAACATATCACTATATCGATCAAGGTACCGTGAAATGTGTTGCTTAAAACTCAGTTGAAATTTCGCCCGAAATTTCATAAAAATTCAAAGTACAGTATACATCGCGCTTTCCCATGCCCCACCCCTAAGTAGGTATACAGTGTAGGCAGTCAGCTTTACACATTTGCAAGTTTCTGTTTGACGGCTGATTTCAAGTAAAAGATAATTTGATCCATTGGACATTTGCATTAAAATCTATATTCCCTCGAGGTTATGAAGAGGAGTACGACATGCATGTATCTCAACTGCCGCAATGGGTACTCCGCAGACAAAGAGAAATTGAAGATATTTTAATCAAAATTGCGGCAGAGAAACTAATTATGTAATATGGCGCGAGGCACGTACAGTGTTGACGTTGAATTGGGATATTTCAGTTTAAAATGTATGTCTGAGTAAAACATGTTTTGTTTTCCAAAAAAACTTATGTCTCGTGCGAGATATGTGAATAGAGAAATATGAGGTCAGGTAAGTTAGAACCGACCAACCGGTTGCCCTGTTTTAGCACTGCTTTACTAGTAGTCTAGATGGTTGGTGCTATATATTGGCCAAATTGCTCAGAATGTGGAAAAAGAATGAAACTTAGCACAAATGTTCTTTGGACTATGCTGATCATTTTCAAGTAGGGTTATTCTGGAAACCAATTTTGCTAGAGGGTACCTCAGGAACAAATTTTATTTTAAAAGATGACATAGTACTTATTATTGCAGATTACTTGCAGAATTAAGGGAATGAGCGCTGCAGCTACCGTAGCAAACAAATTCGCCAAATATGAACCTTACAGAGGATCCGAGGGCACTGATTTCTCGCCAAATAAACCATCTACTGGTCTTACGACAAATCTAGTACATACAATTTTATCCCAGGTTTTATATGAACAATTATAATAATTAGTTGTGACTTGAACAAGTGTTATAAATCAAACGCAACAGAGTTTCTATTAATGACAAAGTCATATCAAGATAACACGTTTCCATTAAGTGTTATATCTATCTGTTTGTGCCTTGGAGAGTCAACAACAAAAAGTTCAATACGTCTTTTTTTGCTCTTGCAGAGTCCACATGAAAAATCAGGTGCCTTCCAAGACAGTACAACAGTCAGATGGACAACAAAAAAACCACAGTGACGGAGAAAACAGAGGTCACACAGGACAATAGTCTGAAAGATGCACCTGAAGACATTCGCAAGAAATACAGCGTGCAAGTCCTAGTGAGGCAATTTAAAGATAAAAAAGCGAAAATCAGTTTGCGTAATATAAGCACCCAAGTGACGCGTGGAAAGGTTTGTTAATTATTTGATCGCTCTCCGTGTGTTATATATCTGTTGGAGGGAGACAATGGTCTTTCCAGAAAAATGCATTTAATTCATCCCAGCTGTAAGATTTGGGCGGCTCCTTTTGAAAGTGCAGGCGTTCACAGAGGTGACAGAAAGCACGGTCTGGAAGCTGACGATACTCGTTCTTCCACTCAAGATATTTGACGTATTTTTCTGGATTCTTATCAAGCATGTGTAAATATTCAGCTAATTCTTTAGGTGAGTTGAAGTCATCGGTGTTGATATGCCATTCAGGACGGATTCCTGCTCGAGTGTAGTCTGTATTCCCGCGAGTAACGGCTACAATATCTATGTTCACGGTTTTATAAAACTTTTCGGTCACGTAATCTAGAGATATGCTATTTTCGAACGCTAGATAAAATTTGTAGTCTCTCGCTAAGAGGTCCAAACACGTGGTATCCCACCCCCAACTACCAGACCGTTGACATTTCAGGGGACCACACGCTCCATATATATCCACTTCTATGTATTTCTGGAGTTCTTTTACAAAGTCCATGCGGCGTGAAGGTGTTTTGCAGTTGGACACCATCCATGCGACCAGTTTCCTTTTCGATTTAGTAACACTAAGGTAATCTTTTTTGATAGGAGTGTCTCTCTTGGCTATCTCTGTGTACGGTAACAAGACGTCTGCATCTGCGCGGTAAACCATCGTCCAGTTGAAGAGTCCATCCCATGATTTGTCAAGCCGCCGGGAGTGGCAGGGGCTCTCCCCCTCCACCCAAACCCACCGCTGGCTAGGGTGACGGTACGTTGGACCTGTCTTTGGGGTGGATTGCCCATTTAGAAAAAATACCACGTCTGCTTGTTTCACCAAACTCCGGTCTTTTGTAAGTTTGCACGCTTTCACTGGACAATGCCTCACCTCCATTAAGTCGTAGAACTTTGATTCAAGAGGATTCCAATTCCAGTCCCAGAATAACAGCGTTTTGTTCTTTAGTTTTGACAGTGTTAGTTCATCGTGTTTCTGTGGAAGGGTTTCTGGATGGATGGCTATCTGGGCCGGGGAGTGGAAACCAGTCTTTTGCCTGTTTGGACGCCTCGATAAATCTGGAAATAAAATTGTACACATGAGTACTTATTAAGTTTTAGATAAAGCATGCTGGGTTGTTTGACGGAATTGACCGATGTACTTCAACTGTCTGACCTCGGGTTGGTCCTGGGTGACGTCATGATGATATACAAATAAAGATAAAAAATGCTGGGACGAAATTGACCAATACTTGAACCGTTCTACAATAGACTCGGCCGTGCTGAATTCGACATACAAGCACGTCCACGGTCTCTTGCACTCCCGTTACTCACTAGCTAATAAGGGCCCAGTATCTGCATAACAGGTTCTAGCGCCCGCCACGCCCTACACTCATAATATTTCGCGTACAGCCTGGCGACTCGTATTGTATCTACCACATAGCGATGATCTGTCAGACCTCTGCGGGTCCATGGTTCAAGTGGAAAGAACGGCACAGAACAGTGACCAGAGGAGAGTTTTTTTGCGAGGGGGCCACGGCGGGTCGGCATCGACTCAGCCGTTCTTGATGATTGGTGATTATTCTCAACATATCAGATATAGGTCCTTTTGAAGAAAACAAAAAAGTGTGAAATGAAGTGAAAGATATAGTCGCAATTTCTACTTTTTCTGAGTCTCTGTTGACAGAAAGTGATAAATCTGGATTTTTTAAATAAATCAATGAAATCCAAGGAAACGCACTTGATACCAACTAGATTTATATTAAAGGTCTAATAACACTGTGGAAAACAATGTGAATAAGATTTTATCTGATAATGAACGCTGTTTCCCCCAGGCATATATTTATGTACTTGAGACCCATAAAATTCTATGGGAAATGGCAGCCATCTTTCATAGAGGGCAAACGGTGTCCTTTGGTACGGTTTAGAACTATGATTAAGCTAGTCAAAATTCTAATTCCAAGAGGGAAATATTGGTGGGATATATTTTTCAGAAACCGAAGGGGGTGTCAGGATTTGATGACGTTAAATGAAAAATTAAAAATATATATTTTTAGTATTGTCGTATTTAGGATTTACACTGAATGTTAATTTTTCAAGCCTTTTTCAAACCAGACATTTTACATACAGACAGTAAACATGATCCTTAGGAAAATCAATGGGGTTCAAAACTGTGGCCTCTGTCGTGACACGAAAAATTTGGCTATAATTATACTTGCGAATTTCTTTTGCATGTAATGACTATATGTCACAGGCAAGATTGAAATTTCGGCCATATATGTAAAAACAGTTAACAAATGCATCACATAGTTGGAATTTCCATAGCCAATTGCAAACAAGAATGCGTTCAGGATTCACTTTTCATGACGGTATCCGGGCGTCATTGTATATACTTTTTTATGTCTGATAGTGACACAATAAGTGAACGTGACATACATGTAATACCTTTACAATTATATATATTTGATTCCTATGGAAATCCGGCCTACTTTAACGTCAACCACCTTGATTGTGTCCCGAACTATAACTTGGTGTGTAGACCTTTTTTGCGCTGTATAATGTTGTATTTTACCCGTACTTTATTTAAAGCTTTGTTTTGAAATTTGAAAACTGTACGTGATTACTGCAAATGTGAGGTTTATACATAATATACATAATATACATACCAACCCCCTCCCCCCGGCTCTCTTCAGCCTGATTTCTTCAGCGTAGAGTGTGCATGGTATTCTCACCTGAGATACTGTTCACTGTATCAACTGGTTCACTGTGTCTGACATTTTCCCGTTTTAAAACTGCACCGTTTTCTTTACTCCCGTGACTCCATAGAAATATCAAGATGACGAAGCCAAGCGGTATTAGGATCAGGGCACGTTTGACAAGGCGCGATAAAGAAAGCATTTTGAACTTCTGCCCTTCAACGAAGGCGAGTCACCACCCAAGTTTAAAACTTATTACATAATATGCATACCACCCCCCTCCCCCCGGCTCTCTTCAGCCTGATTTCTTCAACGTAGAATGTGCATCGTATTCTCACCTGAGATACTGTTCACTGTGTCAACTGGTTCACTGTGTCTGACATTTTCCCGTTTTAAAACTGCACCGTTTTCTTTACTCCCGTGACTCCATAGAAATATCAAGATGACGAAGCCAAGCGGTATTAGGACCAGGGCACGTTTGACAAGGCGCGATAAAGAAAACATTTTGAACTTCTGCCCTTCAACGAAGGCGAGTCACCACCCAGCCCTTCCTCCGCAATGAAGCGACCTCTATTGGTGTACGTGTCAACGTTAAAGCTTTTGTGTATGTAAATTTTGCTGTAGCCGTGCATGTCTCTTTCTACAAAAAATGCACGTAGAAATATGACACAATAGGAGCCCCGAGCGAGGACCATTGTAACGAGTTTGTTGACAGAGTAAGAATAACATCAGTTTATTAACGTCCCAGTAGATCTGTATTACTCGAGAATTGTGTTGTGTATTTTACCTGCATCGATCGCGGTGTAGAAAATAACATTCACACATGTGCAATTCCGTATAATGGCTTGTTCAGTGATTTGTGAACATTTCAGTTTTGGTGGCGTTTTGATTAGTTTCTTGAGATATACCTGTAGGAATCCAAGGAGAGACCCAAAGAAGGATCCGTATTGGGTGGATAGGGAGTGGGTGGTTTTGGGCGGGGAGGGGAGCTCAGAGCAGACATATGCTCCCATTAGCCCTCGAAGGTTCTCCCGTCTGACCCCCCGACAAAACAGTATAATGAAAGAAACATTTTAAGGGCTTCAGAGCATTTGTCCTCAAAGATGCCCGAGAGAGAGAGAGAGAGAGTGGATGATGATAGGGACCTCCAAAGATGCATTTGAAGTCACAGGTTCGCCACAAAACCCGACCAAATGCCACCATACAGTTTCCATTAACATAACTTAAAGAAATACCAAGCGGCATTGTCTCATATTAAAAAAGACATTTGAGCGATTTTTTTTTTTTTTTNAAATACTGCGACCTGATCTGTACTTTAAATATGTCGGCACTTAGTCCTTTTAATCTGTTCAAGCCCAACTACTTCTCTTTCTTTACTTCACTTCTCTCGCCAGTCGTGTCTGTCATCCATGGTCATTTTCCTGGTTTTCTCGGTTAGGTTTTACTGCAATGCACCCTACGACACAACATTAGCAATTCGCCATTGCGTTGCTCTATCTCAAATTACATGACAACGCCAAATTTTACTCAATGCAATCCTATAACATAGACTTGTGCACAACCGCGAGAGAAGTTTCAATGGCAGATTTTAACCCCACCTCTCGTGAAATCTCGCTCCAATCCAGGACTCGTTTGACGTCATCTGCTGCGCAGATGTTCAAAAAAAGCTATCTCGGATGTTCCCTATTACTAGTGAATAAATAATCAGACTTCTAGTTACAGTGTATAAGATTTTTTAAAATCCTTAATATAAAAAGAACGGAGTCACAGCTCAGCTTTCATGCACTTGCACAGAACGAATAATGGCTACCACTTCTTACATCTTTTCTATTTGGTACAACATTGTTACGGGAAATCTAGTTCTACGTTTTAATATATGTGCTATTTAAACAATGTCGGAAGATAACATGTTGGGAAACGTGGGTACTTTCACTTTCGACAACTACTGTAGTCACCTCGATCTTTCTATTTTCATGTAAGGTCTGCGCGTTGTTATGAGATCACCGAATGAGTTTAAAACAGTTGAGAAAGTGTAATTGTATTTTTCCTTATTTCGTTAAAGTTTTTCCAGATCCATACACATTACAGACGCGTGTCTTCACAGCACTTCTGGTGGTAAAGCAAAAAAAAAAAAAAAAAAGTCCGCTGTTAACTATGTCAGTGATGGAAACATTTTTAATAACAAAGAATAAAGAAATATATAATTTTGCTCAAGTGTTAATAGAAATACATTTATTTAATACCACTACGTGAATTTTCAGTAGGTATGATGAATGAGGTACTGACTGTAACTAAAACCTGAAAACATTTAATTTCCTATATATTACCTGTTGGCAAATCAAAATTATGAACCCATTTTATGTGGTGACCATCTTTTATTTGAGTCATCTGTCTTTAAATATACAATTTTAATTGAAAATAAAGAATTCGGTTTATTCGAATCCATCAATACATGTAAAATATTGATAAATATTTTCAAACTTAGGTATTTATATATTAACAAAATTATTGAAAATGTATAATGGCCGAAAAATGAAAAGGCCTTAATTTTTGTGGCCAGTGCAAATTTTGATAATATTTAATCAGGGGCAGATTCAAAGATATTTTCTGACAGGCTTCCACATCATCTAAATTGATCCACCTTCCATTTTTGACCGTCTTCCGACAAAAAAAAAGAATAGATACCCGTCATTGTAAACTTGAAAATCTGACCGTCTTCCGGAAGACCCAGAAGACGGCCTAAATCCGCCCCTGTTAATTGTATAGTAACTTTGAAATCATTTTTTTTTTTTTTTGCATTTACACACTGGTAGGACAAATGAATACAGTGGCGGCCATCTTGGATTTTGTGTGTTTCCGGTCCAAACGGACACCTTTTGGAGCCGGAAACAAACATAATTGAAAAATTCGTGTTATTAACTATAAGGATCAATCATGAAACCTTTTGCTAGCGGGGGAGCAACCAACGTCAGTAATTACCTTTTTCATTTTGGTCAATACACTAAACTAGTCAAAATATTTGAACTGACACGGGTTACTTAGATGGCACAGTGTATGAAGATGCAAAGGCGAATTATCTTCTTGTCCACTTTTTTTGACAATTCCCTCTTAATGTAGCCTCTAAAAACGGGGCAATCTTGTCAGAAGAATAAATTCCAAATTTTACCAAAAGATTTACGAGCTTTTTGTCATTGGCTCATATTGCAGTTGGACACGGCTACGTGTCATTCACGTGCCCCTCGCCTACTGGTATTTTACCACCATAAATGGTCAAAATAACATTAAAAGGATAAACATGACATTGCTTCGAAGCCTGCTCGGACTGTGCATTTATACAATATATGCATAGACTGTATATGCTCTATATAATTCGGTCGCCTGTTATGAGAGGAGCTTGAAGCTCTGGCTGATTACTTTGGAAATGTGGCATTATTTTCTTATGTGTATACAACCAATAGAGAGAGAGCAACAGTGTGGTGCCTATAGGGGCAAATAGAGAAAAGTAACTGTGAGTGTTCCAGACAAGACCAGCGGCGTAAAACAATAATATGCCTGTCAGGAAAATAAGGGTTGGCCAGCGAAGAAACTGTTTAACTCTTTGAATCCTAGATTCGGAGAGCCGCGGGCAGCCTGATGGGAGGCAACGTCCGTGATGCTGAAGAGGAATTGTTTCTGGAAGAAGTTCATCGTCTGCCATAATGTTGTCTGTATGCTCTTCCTCGAAATCGACGCTTGGAGTTTCTTCAAATTGGCTGCCCGAAATATCAGCACTTGGCGTATCCGGAACATCTCTATGCCCTCTTTCTCGAATACCATTATTTTTGTCGTTCCAAGATTGCTTATCTTGAATATGGTCAATTACAGCATTATTTTGGCGCTCCTCACAAAACGTCTCAGCATCATCTTGAGCAGCGTTGCAATTGGAATATTTGCCATTGGTTTTTTTCTTCTTGTACCACGCTACCTGAACTCCGTTGAAACAACCAAGCGTGCTGGAGAAGTAGGACATGATGACATACTGTAATGGCATGACGAGCCCGTACGTAGACAGGAAATCACAGATCTTCCCGATGACAGCCAGCGTAACAGAGGCTGTGGACTGCCCGCTAGTAGACCCCAGCTTCATGTTTAACATCACCTGAAAAGGTGATAACCTTGTATTAAACCATATTTAAAATAAATGTATATACAGTATGGAAAGGGGGTTCCTGTGATCACTTTTAAAATTAATAAAGGAAAAAATCGAACAGAGTGTTATCAAGTGAAATGAGATAAAGAGGAGTTTCTATATATTTCTTTAGTCCCGTTATACTTGCGTAAACTTGATAAAGGGTTTCCGATGCCGTATGCTATATTATTATATTTATCTAAAACCTAGTAAGCGTAAAATAAACTTCTATTAGTTAGATGTGAGATTTCGAGATTTAAAAGTGTGTCAGGGTCTGGGTCTTTTTTCTGTAAGGTGGCGAGTGCTGATATAGATCATGCTGTTCAAATAAACACAACAAACCCCATGCGGTTTGGTACTTAGATAACATACCTGCGGAAATGACTCAATACTCCATAACACAATGGCGCCCCACTGGATATCCATGTACCAGTCGGTAACCACTTCAGTTGTGATCAATCCTCCCCATAATAACACACAAACAAGACAATACACAAGCTTACTACGCCATCTTTGAGTTCCATACGCAAAAAACTGGATTAGAAGCGTGAACTCCATAACAGGCATATAAATGGCCTCCACCTTGGAGTATAAGGGCAACCGACCGATGTAAAACACAAAAAACAAGTTGATAAGGGAAGCAGTAAAGTTGGCTGTGGCCCATAATACACTCAGTCCAACGACAGATTTCCGGCGAAAGTTCTTCCACACTTGAGGAAAGAGAACAATAAACCAAATACACGTGCTTGCGAGTCCGCAGAGGTTAAAGATTATGCACAGCCCGTCTGGCCAGTCTGCACGGCAGTTTTTCAATAGAATATTTGAGTTATTGGTACCGTTCGATGCCGCGCTTGCCATAGTTACAAATACCCTGGGGCAATTAACAATATCACTGGTCAGTCCATACCATCACCGTCATCACACAATGGCCACTGGGCGATTGCTCTAACGCGGAATTATAAGTTCCAATCTTCAAATCCTTACTGAGTCGCCATTTTGTCAAGTCACATGTCACGCTTTTTCAAGGTCATCCCTCCTTGATAAATAAAAGCACTGGTAAAGAACCTGGCCTAAAACCCCAAAAGCAAACTTTCCCTTCCATTTGGCAAGCTCATATATAGATGTGATGTAAATACAGGGCTTCTAAGAACAAAATCAGCTTCCTCGAGTGGTTTCGATTCCGTTTAACACCTATACTTAGTAAAGGCTTTACCACGAAATGCAGATAACATAAACAACCTGTGCTCTCAAAAGTGATAGATGGCCATAACTTTAGGGTAGGCCTACTGCTGACCCATCGTGTCTGATAGAAGTCGTAAATTTAAAGGTAGGATTTCAAGTCTATAGATCACTGAAAGGACCGGATTCTTTAACAGCGAGACATAAAAAAAATCAACCAACTGGAGTAAATAACAAGTCAAATACGTTCACGTTATTGATTATTCGTCCAGGTTGCAGTAGAAAGATAACAAAAGGCTTGTCGAGGTGGAAAACGTTCAAAGCTATACTGAAATAAAATTTACATTCTTTTACACTGTTTTCATTGGGAGACGTAGGCCTACTAGTACGTAAGGTTGTGTCGACATAAATTATTCAGACGAAATTTTTTGTCTTGGTAACAAATTACTTTCGATTTGCAGCAGAGTGTAATGGACCACTTTGACAGCAACACTATGTTCAGACGAGGGCTCTACATTGTTGTACTAGGTAGGTTTTACTTTGTGAGATGTAGAAAATCATTTCAATGTTTTTTTTAAGATTGGGCAAGGGGTGTGGAAGATTTGTCAATTTAGCGGTGCGTAAACTGAGTGGGGCAGTGTGCCACGGCAATGTGTACTTTAAATTTAAAACATGGTAAACAAGCAAGACAAAGGCCTGAAATATTAATGTACAATTGGTGCAATAAAACCAAAGGAAATGATATGTGTGAAGATACATGTACTATAAGGTATTCCTTAATTCACAGCCGCCATTGCCGCTTTCTGCCATGCGGTGGAGCCACCGAATTGCCCTGCCAACAAACCGTTCGTGAACTGCACCTTGAGTCCGTGTAATGTGAGCGCACCCTGTGTAACCTCTCCCACTGCAGTCTGCAAACCAGACTACTGCGGCGGGTGCGTGGCCAAGTTCTACGACAGGAGTGATAACAACGAAGTCCATTGTGAGGAAGGTTAGACAGGAGCAAGGCGAAATTCTGTCTCTCTCTCTCTCTCTCTCTCTCTCACACCTACATGTACATACCGAAAACACATATTATCCATCTATCTATCTATCTGTCTGTCTGTCTGTCGACATATAGTGTGTGTGTGTGTGTGTGTGTGTGTGTGCAGATAATGATATGTTCTTATGGATTTGGCATAATGTGGCTGAAACAACTGGTTGAAATAAAACCGATTCAAACAAAGTAATGTTTCAACATGCGACTGAAGTAAATCTTATGTACACACACTGGACAATAGAAGTGTCACCCCTACTGAACCAATACTTTGGGGGAGATAAATGACTGTGGAATGATATGCTCCTGGTATCATTTTATTAACATCAAATTTCACAAAAAGACCAACAATACCATGGTACAGCGGTTTTATACTCATTAGTCACATCAAAAGTAGACCAGGCATTATAGTATAACTTTGATTACTCTGATTCAGGGGGTGACACTTCTATTTATTGTCCAGTGTGTGTATATACATGTAGGCTGTACAAACAAAATTTTTGTACTAAAGACCAATGTAAGTAGTTAAGATAAGACTGCATTTAGATATGCTTATGGTGGAAAAGGGGCGTTATAAAAAGCAAATTAGGCCTACGTAGGGGCCAGTCACCATGGCAGTAAATGGGGATATGAGTGGTCCACACTCACTATCCGCATGGAGATTAAAGGTATAATAACTCTTCGTATGAGATCTATTTCACAATAAAACATTGTAAAAAAACTCATAGAAATATTATATAATATATAATATATAATATATATAATATAATATTCTGTTTTACCACAAAACGGCAGGTAGCAGTATAGCTATTATTCTGATATCTGAGCTTGTCAGCGGACCACGTGACATCCATAGCTGTATACTCTGTAATAGTCTTAGGAGATTATTAAAAAAAATAAATAAATAAATAAAAATTAAAATAAAAAATAAAACAGGGACTAACTTTGAATGTAGAAATGGATTCATTAACCATTGGAAATGGATCCATCTTGTTGGATTGATCTGGGAACCCAGACTTTGTCTCTCTCCAAGTTGTGCATTCTGGAGAAGGTTTTTGTGCACTCTGGACACTTTAGCATCTTGTCAATGAATGACAAGTGAGGGTGAGGAGTAAGCTATTTATATATATAAATAAAAGAGTTAATTTACATCCTCCTCCTCTCTCCTCCCTCACCTCCTCCGCCTCCTTACTCCCTCCTCCCTAACTCCTCCTCCTCCCTACCCCCTCCTCCATAACTCCTCCTCCTCCTCTTCATCTACTGTCTGTCTTTGACATTGACTTCTCTTTTCCTTCTCTTCCAGACGAGGATCCTGAATCGGAAATGTACAAATATGAGAACAAAGCGAGCTTCAACAAACCCTATGGCCCTATTTGTTACAATAACATCGCAGAGATGACTTCCCTTTGTGAGAAGCCTTCAACTAAGTCACTTGTTTTTTTAATCAATAATATCAACTGCACATTTTTTTTGTTTATCCTATTCAATAAAAAATGTTGTTCAATGTTGTAAAACAAACACAACCAAAGTAACCCAATATGCAATCTTTTAACTCCAAGATTTTTTTAAATAAAACTCTCTCCTTTGATGACACACTCTATGTCAGACGTAGTATAGTTAGCCTGACTCAGAGGTAAAAAGTTCACTCGTTGATACACCCTATTGTCCAATAATAAAAAAAGATACTGTCTTCATTGGTTACCCACTCTATTGCCACTCATAGTAACCCAACAAATAAAAAATATGCTGTCCTCATTGTTGACACACTCTATTGACAGCCGTAGTAACCCAATGAAATAAAAGAAAATGTGATCTTCATTGTTGACACAAGCAATTGTAAGCTATAAGCTATACTCAAAAATCCAAAAATCAAGCAAGTCATAGTAGCCCACTTCTATACTAATATGGGCAATCCAGCTATCGGTTCGACTGACCGAACTTACTCTCTGATGACAATACAAAGTATTCTCCATATATATACTGATACACTGAAATAAGCACATAATGCATTTAAGTGATTCCTATAGCAAGAGATAGTGAAGACCTTTAACATAACTGAATTAACAGATTCATTTAATATAATTATAGCTGAGACACCTGAACAATTGACACAATTTGATTTAAAATTGGAAGTTTCTAAAATATAATCTGACCATGAAATCACCACTATGATATTTCATAGGCCTTTCTTAAGTTTTTCTCCTATTTATCATGAAATCACCACTGTGGCATATGATGTGAAAATGGCAAGTAGCCTCGTAACCATGAAAACTGACGAAACCTAAGATGGCCGCCGCGGTATTATTTATTTATTTATTTATTTATTTATTTATTTATTTATTTATTTATTCTAATGATTCAATATAATTTGATTAAATAATCTAAATTATGTTTTATGTCTGAGATGGTCATTGGATGATCCAGAGGATTATTTTTTAATGCCTATTCATTGTGGGGAAAAGTTGGAGACTAAAGAAGTGTCAGCTTCTCTCTCTCTCTCGCTGTCGCACACACACACACACACACACATACATACACACACACGCACACAGAAACACACGGCTATTTCTTGTTTCTTACATGTACTAAAACCAAAAACTGTGTGAGAGGAGAGTGAAAAGGTGAGAACAGTGTGGGTGATTAAAAAACACGGTTCTAATTCACTTACCCTAAGGACTTTTTAAAATACTGCTTGGTGCCACGCTTGCTGCATTGGTAAATTTTTTTCTCCCTCTTTTTGTTACAGAGGTAGGCATCATTTGCGAATTGAAGAACACCACCATTGGCTGCCTGCAGGAGACAGAGAGGAACAAAGTGATGAAGATCTTGTTTGCCAACTACGGCCGAACCAGCGACATCAAGTGCCGCCATCCCTACAACACCTCATCGCTGCACGAGTCTCTCAACTGTAGTGCTGCCAATTCTACCAAGATAATCCGGGATTTGTGTGAGGGGAAACGCACCTGTCATCCGGATGTCTCCAATGCCGTATTTGGTGACCCTTGTTATGGGACGTACAAGTACCTGGAGGTGGATTGGCAATGTGTGGACCCAGGTAATAATAATAATACGTTTTGGCGGGTCAGATGTCGAGGTAGTTTAATAGGGAAGTGGAGATTGGTATAAAAGTGCCCCAAACATGGCCTAAATTGCTGCTACTGTCTCCGCAGTTTATAGGGGTCTAAGAGGCTTTTATATGTAAAGAGGAGGCTGCACAGTTATCTAACAAAGCCACTAACTTATCACTTAAAGTCATCTCATATCCAACAAAAAACATTCTAAAACACAATGACTTGATTACATCTGGTAATAATAATGTGAAAAATGTTTAAAATTTATATTCGGCAAACACCTATCTCCATTTACTTTAAATCTGTTGGATGCCCATATTGAATATATTTTTAATTGTTAATAACAACTGGTCGGGAATAAGGAAATGTGTTTTCATTATGTATCGGGTGGATAAATGACTAAAAAAACGCATTGAACTTTAAATGACTGAAAAAAGCGCATTAAACTTTAAATTTGAGAATCTAAAGAGTTCTCTGTTATTCAGAATCATATACGAGGTAGTGCCTTTCGCCAAAAAATGTGTCGTTCAAAAACCAAAATAATAAATAGTTACAAAACGTATGCCGAAGCCAACTGCTTCATAGTTTCTAGAATGATATTTACGTTACATTTTTAAGAATAACATAGATAAAACACATTTTTTACGCATGTTTATATAAACACACCTCGTATTTTATAATGCAATTTTCTGTCAAAAAAATCGGAATTAGGCAGATGCACGCACGGTAAAAATCTAGTGTTACCGGTACGACTCAATGTTAAGACATTTGAGTAGTTAATCAACTAGGAGATCCACAAATCTTACAGCCAGTGGCGGCTGTGCTCTAGTTCAGAAATTACNGTGCGTGGCCAAGTTCTACGACAGGAGTGATAACAACGAAGTCCATTGTGAGGAAGGTTAGACAGGAGCAAGGCGAAATTCTCTCTCTCTCACAAACACACACCTACATACCGAAAACACATATTATCTGTCTGTCTGTCTATATAGATATAGTGTGTGTGTGTGTGTGTGTGTGTGAAGATAATACTGTGTTCTTATGGATTTGGCATAATGTGGCTGAAACAACTGGTTGAAATATAACCGAAATGCAGAGTTCAAACAAAGATGCCTAGATATACAGACTTTCAAACATGCGACTGAAGTAAATCTTATGTACACACACTGGACAATAGAAGTGTCACCCCTACTGAACCAATACTTTGGGGGAGATAAATGACTGTGGAATGATATGCTCCTGGTATCATTTTATTAAGATCAAATTTCACAAAAAGACCAACAATACAATTCCATGGTACAGCTGTTTTATACTCATTAGTCACATTATAAGTAGACCAGGCATTATAACTTTGATTACTCTGATTCAGGGGTGACACTTCTGTTCAATGTAATGTAAGACCAATGTAAGTAGTTAAGATAAGACTACATTTAGATATGCTTATGGTGGAAAAGGGACGTTATAAAAAGCAAATTAGGCCTACATGTACGTAGGGGCCAGTCACCATGGCAGTAAATGGGGATATGAGTGGTCCACACTCACTATCCGCATGGAGATTAAAGGTATAATAACTCTTCGTATGAGATCTATTTCACAATAAAAACATTGTAAAAAAACTCATAGAAATATAATATAATGTATAATATATATAATATAATATTCTGTTTTACCACAAAACGGCGGGTACAGTACCATTATAGCTATTATTCTGATATCTGAGCTTGTTAGCGGATCACGTGACATCCACAGATGTATACTCTGTAATAATCTCTTAGGAGATTTAATATTACAAAAAAAAAAAAAAAAAAAAAAAAAAAAAAAAAAAAAAAAAAAAAAAAAAAAAAAAAAAAAAAAAAAAAAAAAAAATTAGAAAAAAAAACAGGGACTAAGTTTGAATGTAGCAATGGATTCATTAACCATTGGTAAGTATGGGAAAATTGTTGTTTACTCCAAGAAAATTCTTTTTTTTTTTTTTTTGCCAAAACGAACAGTTATTATCCTTTAAGCTGAGATTTCGCAGACCCTATCGTACTAGGGGATTCTCGCTTAATTGCAATCAACTTAAGCGGCTTAGATGTCTGTCACGCCTATTGAAGCTGCTAGAGGGTAATAAATTATCGTTTAGCCGCTTCAGTAGCGTGCCAGACATCTAAACCGCTTAAGCTGAAAGCAATTTAGCGAGAAACCCCTTGGAAATGGATCCATCTTGTTGGATTGATCTGGGAACCCAGTCTTTGTCTCTCTCCAAGTTGTCCTTTCTGGAGAAGGTTTTTGTGCACTGTGGACACTTCAGCATCTTGTCAATGAATGAGAAGTGAGGGTGAGGAGTAAGCTATTTATATATATAAATAAAAGAGTTAATTTACATCCTCCTCCTCTCTCCTCCCTCACCTCCTCCGCCTCCTTACTCCCTCCTCCCTAACTCCTCCTCCTCCCTACCCCCTCCTCCATAACTCCTCCTCCTCCTCTTCATCTACTGTCTGTCTTTGACATTGACTTCTCTTTTCCTTCTCTTCCAGACGAGGATCCTGAATCGGAAATGTACAAATATGAGAACAAAGCGAGCTGCAATAAACCCTATGGCCCTATTTGTTACAATAACATCGCAGAGATGACTTCCCTTTGTGAGAAGCCTTCAACTAAGTCACTTGTTTTTTTAATCAATGATATTATTCAACTGCACATTTTTTTGTTTATCCTATTCAATAAAAAATGTTGTTCAATGTTGTAAAACAAACACAACCAAAGTAACCCAATATGCAGTCTTTTAACTCCAAGATTTTTTAAATAAAACTCTCTCCTTTGATGACACACTCTATGTCAGACGTAGTATAGTTAGCCTGACTCAGAGGTAAAAAGTTCACTCGTTGATACACCCTATTGTCCAATAATAAAAAAGATACTGTCTTCATTGTTTACCCACTCTATTGCCACTCATAGTAACCCAACAAATAAAAAATATGCTGTCCTCATTGTTGACACACTCTATTGACAGCCGTAGTAACCCAACGAAATAAAAGAAAATGTGATCTTCATTGTTGACACAAGCAATTGTAAGCTATAAGCTACACTCAAAAATCCAAAAATCAAGTAAGTCATAGTAGCCCACTTCTATACTAATATGGGCAATCCAGCTATCGGTTCGACTGACCGAACTTACTCTCTGATGACAATACAAAGTATTCTCCATATATATACTGATACACTGAAATAAGCACATAATGCATTTAAGTGATTCCTATAGCAAGAGATAGTGAAGACCTTTAACATAACTGAATTAACAGATTCATTTAATATAATTATAGCTGAGACACCTGAACAATTGACACAATTTGATTTAAAATTGGAAGTTTCTAAAATATAATCTGACCATGAAATCACCACTATGATATTTCATAGGCCTTTCTTAAGTTTTTCTCCTATTTATCATGAAATCACCACTGTGGCATATGATGTGAAAATGGCAAGTAGCCTCGTAACCATGAAAACTGACGAAACCTAAGATGGCCGCCGCGGTATTATTTATTTATTTATTTATTTACTTATTCTAATGATTCAATATAATTTGATTAAATAATCTAAATTATGTTTTATGTCTGAGATGGTCATTGGATGATCCAGAGGATTATTTTTCAATGCCTATTCATTGTGGGGAAAAGTTGGAGACTAAAGAAGTGTCAGCTTCTCTCTCTCTCTCGCTGTCGCACACACACACACACACACACACATACATACACACACACGCACACAGAAACACACGGCTATTTCTTGTTTCTTACATGTACTAAAACTAAAAACTGTGTGAGAGGAGAGTGAAAAGGTGAGAACAGTGTGGGTGATTAAAAAACACGGTTCTAATTCACTTACCCTAAGGACTTTTTAAAATACTGCTTGGTGCCACGCTTGCTGCATTGGTAAATTTTTTTCTCCCTCTTTTTGTTACAGAGGTAGGCATCATTTGCGAATTAAAGAACACCACCATTGGCTGCCTGCAGGAGACAGAGAGGAACAAAGTGATGAAGATCTTGTTTGCCAACTACGGCCGAACCAGCGACATCAAGTGCCGCCATCCCTACAACACCTCATCGCTGCACGAGTCTCTCAACTGCAGTGCTGCCAATTCTACCAAGATAATCCGGGATTTGTGTGAGGGGAAACGCACCTGTCATCCGGATGTCTCCAATGCCGTATTTGGTGACCCTTGTTATGGGACGTACAAGTACCTGGAGGTGGATTGGCAATGTGTGGACCCAGGTAATAATAATAATACGTTTTGGCGGGTCAGATGTCGAGGTAGTTTAATAGGGAAGTGGAGATTGGTATAAAAGTGCCCCAAACATGGCCTAAAATTGCTGCTACTGTCTCCGCAGTTTATAGGGGTCTAAGAGGCTTTTATATGTAAAGAGGAGGCTGCACAGTTATCTAACAAAGCCACTAACTTATCACTTAAAGTCATCTCATATCCAACAAAAAACATTCTAAAACACAATGACTTGATTACATCTGGTAATAATAATGTGAAAAATATTTAAAATTTATATTCGGCAAACACCTATCTCCATTTACTTTAAATCTGTTGGATGCCCATATTGAATATATTTTTAATTGTTAATAACAACTGGTCGGGAATAAGGAAATGTGTTTTCATTATGTATCGGGTGGATAAATGACTAAAAAAACGCATTGAACTTTAAATGACTGAAAAAAGCGCATTAAACTTTAAATTTGAGAATCTAAAGAGTTCTCTGTTATTCAGAATCATATACGAGGTAGTGCCTTTCGCCAAAAAATGTGTCGTTCAAAAACCAAAATAATAAATAGTTACAAAACGTATGCCGAAGCCAACTGCTTCATAGTTTCTAGAATGATATTTACGTTACATTTTTAAGAATAACATAGATAAAACACATTTTTTACGCATGTTTATATAAACACACCTCGTATTTTATAATGCAATTTTCTGTCAAAAAAATCGGAATTAGGCAGATGCACGCACGGTAAAAATCTACAGTGTTACCGGTACGACTCAATGTTAAGACATTTGAGTAGTTAATCAACTAGGAGATCCACAAATCTTACAGCCTGTGGCGGCTGTGCACTAGTTCAGAAATTACAAAATAAATAAATAAATAAATAAATAAATAAATAAATAAATAAATAAAAAAGAGAGAGCCTGCTATTTGTGCAACTTCTCGGCCAGTCAATAGAGTTTTAACTTTAAAATTACGAACAATGTATGATAGACTTAATCCAGATTGTTGCAGCCTCTATCCAAAAGAGAAGTGTATTTTAAGAACATCCTATAATCACATAAAACAATTTGAATGAAGTATAAATGTCTGGATCTGAAAAAGATTACACTTTAGACCGCAGCGCTAATTTGACCTACAAATTTTATTCCGAATTCTTTTAGTAAAAAGACCGCCCCTACCTTATTTTTCAAAATTCAATGTGCATTAGATGATAAAGCACGCGAATATATTAATGAATAAAACTTAACCATTATAAATGATGAAATCCTGAATGTTTGTTTAAAAATCTGATTGCATAGTTTTTCTTTCCAGGTACGCTCAGTTCTGTGACGAGAAATGAATGCAGCGTTGGAGCTCTGCTCACCATTGCCTTTGGTCTGGCATTCTCTCTTAGCAGAACCTAACGCACCGACAGGAACTACGAGCGCCAAGTAAAGATTACATAAGCTTTAGCGTGCCATAAGCACAAAAGTTCGTCTTCAGAGTATGTCAAACACATTTTATTTGTTTGTAAACAAAACAGCATTTAGCCAGATTTTGTAGTTTTATTTTAACGTACTAAAACACCATTCGCACCTTTTCAAAATATAATTGGGAAATGGAACTATTGACGTTGAAGAGATTTGCCCAAAAATATAAGAAATATATAAGTACAGGCTAATACTAGAAAACACTGAATAAAGGGATTGCAGGTCACGTGTTACAGACAATGCTTTAAGAACTGTCCGATTTTGGGCACTGAGCAATATTAAAATATGTAAACATCTCGCACTGAAATTAACCGATTAAAAAATCTGTATCTGCGTTCCAGCGCTGTATACCCTATCTACTTTTACAATGTAAAAATCTATCACTTATTTTCTTATACTGGCACTTTCGCAAGAAACTTTTTTCTTGTTAATTTGAACATTTAAAAAGTTAACGGTCCCATTTTTCAGACCGACGCAAAGTTTGCGTCCAATCACAAGCAAACAGATGACTATGTGTTCAAAATAAAATTGGCATAGTGAATGAGATTCTTTAATGTTGTGTTTTGGCACTAACCATAAAATTATAGATTTATCGTAGGACCCTGTGATAATATGATTGTCGCCATATGGCACTATAGCCGTCACAGCACGGGTATGAGCATATGCGTATTGCTTACTTTGTGTTTGTTCTCCTAAAAGGTTCATGGAATCCCCACTGTTAAAGTCTGCTATATTAATTGTACATTTTGGCCCCTCTGTGAAGACACGCGAGCCTGAACACGAATGCGGTCGACTCCACGCGGTGTTGTACGTCAGCATCTGCTTTGACGGTATCCCCGTTGTCAAGTCGATCATCTGAGCAAAAATGTCTTTGTGGCAACACATGACGAACTTGCCGTCTGACGACACTGATAAGCATCGCATGCCGTAATGTTGCTGTGTGGAAATTACCCTGACTAAATTCCCATTCACAGTTTCGTGAACACCAATTTTGTTGTCTGATGAGGCCGTAAGAAATAATGTTTGATCCGGAGTACAGCACAAGTGCTCTACACCGAATGGATCGTGACAGGCATTGGCACGTATTCTAGGCTTCAGTGCCTTTCCACTGTCTTTCAAGTTCCAAATACAAACTCGACCATCACTAGACCCAGTGAATAAGGTTCCATTTTGAAGAACTAAGATAGGGCCTACTCTTTGTGGCACTGGGGGCACTTAATTTCAAGACCAGGGCTTTAGATGTCAAGTCCCAAAGCTGAACTAAATTGTCGCCATGCATCACAAATGCAATGAGATTCTCTGATACCGCTTTCACGCTGTCTATGTGAAATGCGCCGATGTGCCATCTTGTGCGTGTCCACTGTGAACAATATGGAGACGCTTCTCCATCTTTACCTTGTGCGTATTCTACGAGATCGCCCTCTGACGTCAACACCAACACAGATGTGGCATTTCAGCCCGGGAGCCACCGGCTCATATGACGGTTATTTTGGAGAATATTAGATTGGGCCTCGTTTTCAAAACTTGAAGCGGCGGCCATATCCAATTTGGCGGGAGGAGCAGGCATAGAGACAGGTAAGATGAACAGACGTTTACACGCTGACATGTTGATAATTTTACTAATGCACTTGACAGAACGATAAAGTATGTTCTCAAGCTATATTTTTTATACCAAAGTAGTGTTCAAGTATCGGTTTCACTGATTCTTTTATCAAGTTACTGTCGTGTTCCAAAATGGCGGCACACAGAACCGAAATCAGGGGGTGGAAACGCGCTACTTATATGATTAAGACGAGCCTGGCCGTCAGTACCGGATATTGATTTNATGGAATTGATGTATCTTTTGTTTTGTTTTTTCGTTTTTTCATTAAAAAGGAACTGTTATTGGTTGGCCTCATATAATAAAGAAATGCTTATTTATAAAGAAAAAATATGAAATGTTTATTTTCCTCCATTCTTCCTGTGCCAGCTTCATTTGACTATATAGACAATAATGAGCGGCGGAAAAACCAAAACGAGGTCAGAATACCAACAGAATGTACTGAGTCAAAACGAGGCTGGTACGCGGTTGTTGCAAGGAAGACATTTTTTGCATACACGGGTGTGAATTGATTTGTGCCATTCCTGGATGAAGGTAAAGTTCCTTACATGCTTACATTTACAGAAAGCTGAATAAATTTGCCACAGCTTACTGGTAATTTGAAATTGGAACCTGTTCTCTAAGAATGCAAGCATTAGAGTCAAAGTTGAACTTCCGCTGTAGCTTAAGTAAAATATTTGGTTTCAAACTCGTTTTTCTCCACAAAATAGGGTTTAAATCAACTCGAGGAGCATCTGACATGATTTGTAATTTACTTTTAAAAATGATAATATACATAACAAAACTTTCATGTCCTTAAAGGCCGAGATATTCCACCGTTTCTGACACCCTACAAATCTCTAAAAATTTCACCCAATTCAAATTCTTGAACTTCCGGTTTGGTTAAAAGCCACCTAGCGGCAGACCGGTGGCTCCCAGGCTGTTTGGCAGCAATTCTATACATTTCACTTTACCGGTAACACTTGGCAAAGTCGATAATGTTTTCCCGTGTCTGGTCACTATGGTAACACTGCCATTGTCACTTCCGCACACCAGGTGTTCTTGATCCTCTGAGATCGCGAGAGCAGTGGCGATTTCAACCTTTGGAAGGCCAGAATTTATTTTGGAATTTCTTTCGATTTCCAGTATGAGGGTTCTCAAACGGCTGTCCTCGTCAAAACCTATGATGATTTGTTTAAACTTTGGAAGGGGTACTACTGGGAAGGGCGGCATGTTTTTGATTTTGACAGTCACTATCTCATGCTGTTGTTGCTCCTGGCAATCCCTTTCATATGACAAAGTTGTAATTGCGTCGTCGCATAACGCCGATATGGAGCATTCTGGCGTCACTCGCAAATGCCTTACTCCGAATTGTGATGTTCTTATCACACACAAAATAGCTGTTTGTGTTGGCCTTTGAATATCCCACACATAAATGTCCCCGTTACAGAGTCCAACGATAAGGGGGTGGCCTTCTAAAGCCGCTAAAGTTCCTATAGCAGCTGGATGCACATATGAGAACACTGCGTTTTGGCTTTCGTCCTCCAAGTTCCAAACGTGCAAAGTTCCAGTTTGGGATCCAGTGAAACAGCAGTTTCCATGACTTGAAACAGTTGTTATTCTGTCCCCATCGTCATGCCTCCCTATAACTTTGACGGCTGTTCCATTTGATGAATCCCATAATATCACCTGCCTGTCCCAGGAAACGGAAATGGCATATCTTTCATTGGATGCTGACGTCATTGCCGACACCGGTCCCTCGTGGTTTGGCACGTGACTTCGTGTCGAAGAACTATCTAAACTGGAAAGAGAAAAGCACGACTGTTTTACTGATTGGTCGACCGATGCCGTGTAAATAGTCATCTTTTTTTTCTTGGAAGGCACATTGAATCCCCCGTACTGCAGCAGAATGGATCTGAACCTGAAATACCAGTGAATGATCGTCGTTCAAGTCCCAGAATTTGACCCGTCCATCAGCTCCACCGGACAACAATAAGGAGTGCGATTCGTAACGTGCAAGACACAAAGCAAATGTACCGCCCTCGTGCCCTTTCAAGATTCGCCGTACTTCCAACGAAGGGAAATTTAACACACCGATTCCCGTCTTCCCGCCAACATAAAGCTGACGTTGATATCTGCTGAAAAACAAAGTATAAAGAACTCCCAACTTTGGATTACAAGATGTAACTGGGCATTCCGGGCTGTTTTTTCGCCACAAGCAGACACTTTCATCATAAGAGCAAGAAGCAAAAAATATCTCCTTTTCAGATAAATTGGTAAAACATGCGCATGCGACTACATCGGTGAGGGCAGCATACGTGAACTGAACACTCCCGTCATTTAAATACCACAATTTTATAGTTTTATCTCCAGAGACTGTGAGTCCCGATTCGCCATCCGCCGATAATACTAACGAGAATATCTGCCTGTTGTGAATATTGGAGAACGTTTCACGGAGGCATTTCCCCTTTAAATCCCATAGCTTGACTACACTGTCACAAGCGGCTGTCACGACGAGGGTTTCGCTGCTGTTGACACCAAAACAAGTAACCAAATCATTGTGCTTTGTGAGATCTGATCCGAGGCAAGTCTCTCCTCCTGTTATTGGATCGATGAGCCGTACAAACCCGTCCCCAGATGTCGTAACGATCGTTGAATCCTTTAACACTCCTAACCCTAAAACAGCTGTGCCATTGTGTGCGCTGTACGTTTTAACAACATGGCCATTGGGTGGGGAAATACACGCACGGTCTGGTAAAAAACATGAATCGGCATCCTCAAAAAGTTGGCTTCTAACAGCTTTAAGAAAATCAGAAATCCCAACTATTTCTAAATTACTAAGGGAGCCCAGAAACACGGGTCCTAGTTGCTTCTTATCGCGGATTATGGCTGGAGCGTGGAGAAGTAAAGCTTTGTTGATGGCACCATGCAAGTGACTGAATTGACAGTCACATTCAAAAAGTTCGAAGTCAGAAATTATTTCTGACAAAGATGTTTTATTCAATTTGGCTTGAAGCCAGCGGAATGAACAGAGGAGTCCTCTGTATAATGACTTGAATTCTTTTCCCATAGCTGTGCAGTGATGAATGAAATTGGTGTACACATATTTGTCACCTGAAAAATCCAGGTTCCACCAAGGATAACTCAGTACAATAGCTTGGTCATTCTCATAGCAGCTACTGCAACCCAACTGATCTTTGCTACTGTTTGTGTTTGATCCGCTGATCATGGGACGACCTTTGCTGGGACTGTGCCTCTCAGCTGAACGCTCCAAATCATCCTGGAACCCTGAATCTGAGCGGTCTTTCTCCGCCGAGCACCCTGCTGCCGGTTCTTCCAACTGTAACTTTTCAATGTGCTGCAAACCTGCTGTGCCTTCTGCAGCTGCTACGTATGCCGCCAGGAGGGCCGTGTGCATCCGACGGATCCCATCCGGTCCCCACAAAGTCTCAGTCTTATTCTGAATGTACTGCAGTACCAGGTCGTGTATTCGGAAATAACAGTCTCCATCTTCATCTTCAAGCTTAAATCTGAGCAGAGATTTATCTGCCAGTGTGAACAGACATTCACGGACATGTCTTGCAACTTTATCTTGCTTTTCAGCGTTGGATTTATCTTGCATGTAGCTGCATAGGATAGCTAATGTTGACGATTGAATTAAGGCATCTTTTTTGAACAACGACACCTTAAGAAGTATTTCTTGCAGCATGCTGTACGGCTTGTTTGTATCGCCGGCGTCTCGCAAACAGGCAAAAGTTGCCTCAAAGGCGCCTACAAAAGTTTCAGGATAACTGTCTATCGGCAGACGTCTGGATTCCATCCACAATTTGTCTTTCTCTTTCAAGGATGCTGCCATGTCCCTCCACCTCTGAGAAGAAAATGGCTGCGAAACCGACGTGGCACCTTGCCTGAGCGACGAGGCAACTAAAGCAATCGCCAGAGGATATCCTCCTAGATAACTGTGTATGGCGTTGGCTTCCTTTGTTATTTTGTGGTCATTTAAGAGCTTTTCTGTCACATTTGCACATTTGAGGAACAACTGCCAAGCATTTTCAACATCTAAATGATCAAGAGTATATATTCGAACGTTAAGCATGTTGATAACAGCTCGGTCGCGAGTTGTTATAAGCAGCAAACAGTCTTTAGAAATTGCAGTAAAAACGCTGGCATCATCTGGATTCCAAACGTCGTCTAGCACAAATAATATTTTCTCGTGCATCGTGAACTGTATTAACCAACTTCGGGCAGAAATACGATCGGCAAAATCTTCCTGGGATTCACTACCTTGTAGGTGCCGTCTTACACTACTGATGATTTTCACAACGTCCGGTGCTTTGCCGCAATGAATCCAATAAATATGTAGAAACATCCTTCTGTAAATGTATCTGCAGATGAGTGTCGCCAGCGAAGTCTTCCCAATGCCGGGAGCACCCGAAATACCAAACATATTACTGCCCTCCTCGGGGACTTGGCCCATGAAGGATTCGGCAATGAAGACGACATCGTCTGTTCTTCCCAATAAGTTGTGAGGGTTGTGGACCTGGATACCGTGAACGAGTGGTTCTGAAAGAGATAAGATTAAAATGCCGCTGAAATGTGCACCCTAAGACCCCATGCAAAGAGAAGGTGGCTTGTCTTCACGTCCCACGTATTCCAATTTATCAAAAAAAGTTGCGGCATAATGTAGTGTATTGCAGTTAAGATCAACATTTCCAAGGCAACCTAAATAGCCAGATTAAAACTAAAAGTAATATAACTCTGTGCTCCTTTAAATCGATATGTAAAAAATTTACTTACTTGTACCCCATTCTAGTTCTGAAACAAAATGAAAATAACATTTTATTTATACAATATTTACAACTGTTTATCTATGGACAGCCCACACCTGATACTGATGGGGACAACTCTCTACCCAACATACACCATAATATCAGAAATTTGTTTCAAATAGATCCTTAAATATAGTGTGAGGCAGCGGCTAAGATTAACTATATTTCCAGGCATAAATTTAGCTTGTATGCATTTGTATGACTTTCTTAAATTATAATATCTGTAACTTAAATGGAATGCTCTGTAAGCTCTATTACATAAACCAACCTTTGCTGAGTTGCTTTGATAGCTTCTTCAAAAATTCTGGATCGTCATGGTGTATTACATCTCTTTTGTGTGTATATTTATAAGGTACGATCGTGTCTTGCAGCAATACAACAACAACAGATCCACGGCGAGGTCGTTCGGTATCATTTTCCAGAGAGAGTGCTAAGTTTGCCGCGTACAAACATGAAGGATCGCTCAAAAAATCTGAAGTTATCACTAAAACAGTTTTGTCGCAATTTCGTATGAAATCGATCAATTCGTCTATTATAATAGCGCCAGGTGGAATGTTAGTTTCATCCAAGAAATGAAATTCTTCATTGGACTGCGTTTTCAAACTGTCCACCAGTGCCGCCCTCCAATGTTTCGCTCTTGGGTTTAGTTCGATGCCCACAAGGAACACTTTTTGGGGCATATCATCATAGGAATGCGTGAAGATTATACGAGTGCCTGTACCTTTGTTGAGCAATTGCCTTCCAGACGCAAGCCCTATAATATAAGAAGTGTTAAAAAGGTGTACTAATTCATAGGTAACTAAAAGCAAGGGTTAAGTTGTTTACCTTTCACAAGTTAAATGTTTTTAAGTCCCAGCCCAATAAATCTACAACGTTAATTTTAGTTGGAAGAGCGGGAATGATTAGAAGGTTCACGTTTAAAAAGGCCATCCTCTTACACCAATTTGATGGCCCTACTACATGTAGTAGCATTATTTAAGTGATTCCGCCGGCCTTAGTAAATGCAACATGTAGGTTGCAGCAGACAGTGGACTCGCCTTGCCTGGAATTCCTCTCCCCTTTATTTCATTAATTACACTGGTTGTAGGATCAATACAGGCGCTTGTTTGACTAGTCTCTTTTCAACCTACGGATTATTTTATCTCACTCATGATATGAGTATTATATTATGTCAGTGAAATACGTATATGGTGTTCTTTGGCCATACAGAATATATACCAAACCTTAAATTCCTTTTGGATGGGAACCCCATCTCCATGTGCGTTCCACAAGAGTAGACCATGTTAAAGGCTTGAAAAAAGCCAAAACTAACACTCAGAAACGCAGGGTACCAATCTGCTCTCTAGACATTTGTGATTCATTGCGTTGTATGATATCATCCCCTTAATTAAGTCTTAAGCAGGGGGCTTGATAAGACAAACTACAGGAAGCAAACCTTTGTTAATCAATTACCTGTTTTATTTTCAAGAGTTTTGACTCGTTATTTAAAAATAGTTAACTCAGTAAATATTGACCGAGAACACATTTCCTCAGCCTGACCCTTACAACCAAACAACTTTCTGGATTTCAAGGGACAATAACGCTTTATATCGGAGGGAAGGATGCCATAATACGGATTTCATGTGTCCCACACTTGCCTATGGTTAATGAATCCGTTCCGACATTCAGAGTAAGGTGATGTTTTTTTTCTTAAGTGTGTTTTTGTAATAATCTCTGAAGAGATTATTACGGAGGTTAAAGTCATCTATGAACGTCCACGTGCTCTGATGGCATGGACAGATGTCAGAATCATTGCGAAAACCGCCGTTTTGGTGGTACATGTAAAATGGTATTGCTTATATGTGTTGTTTACAATGTATTTATTGAAAAATTTTGAAACTCATATGAGGAATTGTTATCCCTTTAAATTAAAAACGGATTACTTAAAAGTAAAATCATTCTGGTTTTAGATTAAAACGCACGTCATCTCTTAGATAACGTTTTAATATTCTGAATTAATTCTTGCTGTGTGGTATGGCTATCTTATCAAAGGTAAATATACATGAACAATATATACAACAATAACGCGGCGATACATTCTAAATGTATTCATACCACCGCACTTTGTGGGGCACTTAGTAGTCCCAATATATAAATATCCTCACACAGTAAAGTAGCAATGGAACCCATATCAGTTTCACTGAAATTTGTCAGCTTTATAAGTGTGATCGCAGTATTCTCTATATTTGATCTATAGTTTATGTTTGATGATGCGTTGACAGTATATTGTTGCTCATTCATTCATTATGACACAGGAAACCACTGGAAGGGTAAAGGTCGTGGCAAACAAGCTTAAGAACAACAGTCGCGACATAGGCCTAACATTCACATAGAGCACACGAGAACGGGAAAGGCCGTGCAGATTAAACAGTGGCCCACAGCGTGTCAACAATGTATTACTGTTAATAATATAATCGAAAAGCAAGGGGATAGGATCAAGGGCGGTTTTAGCCCGTCTTCTGGGTCTTCCGGGTTTCCAAGTTTAAGGAATCACGAGGATTATGATTTTAAATGAATAAAAAAAATCCCCCAAACACATCCGCGCATAAAATCAGTTAGATCCCTCAAAGTCGATGCAAAGTGGTCTTTATCTACTTGTAAATTCACCGTATATTCCACCAATAAATTCAGCTTTGACTCTTTATTATTTAATTTATTTCTAATGTAGTGACAAGCATAAGAGTAGGCCTAGTGAACGAGACAGCTGAAAATATCAGGATTCGATGATCTAGAAGAGCATTCGGTGCGTGCGTGTGTGTATGTGTGTGTGTGTGTGAAAGAAAGAGAGAGACGTGCTAATCTTTCCGATCAAAAAACACACAACGCCCCCAGTATTGACTTACTTGTGATACATGTAGTACCGGTAGCTTGTTCAATGACTGCAATGCGGTGTGTTGATCTTGTGCTCTTTGCGAATCGGAGTATCAAATGGAAATTCCCAATGACGTCATCGTCGTATTTTGCCATTGTTTATCAAGTACTGATCTAGGTCATGAATCGATCAAAATGAGACTTGTTAATTCGCATATTAAAAGGAGAGAGAGAGAGAGAGAGAGAGAGAGAGAGATTGAAATGTTAACAATTTCTCAGCTTAACAGAGGCTTAGGCCCTAATATTTGTCAAAATTTCAAATGTTATCTCTTGTGCAGGAATATCAGCCCGGGGTTTAAATGTCGCTGGAAACTTGCCACGCCTACCTAAATAGCCTACTGCAGTCGTTTTCAGTGTCTATAAAAATATCCCAATATACGGGCTACCCCCCCCCCCCCCCCCTTCCGCTTTCACAAAAAA